ATTTTTTTTTTTTTTGTTTATCAAAAGCTTGAAAGAAATGTGTATGCATTTATCAAACTGTAAGTGTCCAGGATAATGAATGTGCAGAAACAATAAGACATTATTCAGGTCAAAGGTAACTTTAAAAGAACCCAGTTCAGGGTCGTTCTGAAAGGTGACTTCACCTCAGGCTCCGGAAAGGCCTTCCTCATCCTAAACATAAAATCATTTTCTTACAACATCAACATTTCCAGATAAATGAGAACAAATGTGGGGGAGTTATTTTTTTATTTGACTTTTATTCGTACAGGTAGTCTCAGTTACGAGGACTCTTTTTCAAAGGAGAGACCTATTTTAGACAGAAAACATACAGAGTACAATTAACAACATTATACAACAATTAAAGCAATTAAAAACAATTGTGTTATAAAAACAATAAAATCAAAGTGCCATATAAAATGAGATGAAATACTAAAAACAAGAACATATTTGCTTAGATTTCTCTAATGACCTTAACGGGGCGGTTGTGGCTGAGTGGTTAGAGCAGTCGCCCTCCAATGGAAGAGTTGGGGGTTCGATTCCACCAGCAGTCACATGTTGGTGTCCCCTCATTGCCTCCGATGTGTGTCCCATCGGTGTATAAATGTGATCTAAAGCGCTGATTAATCTTTGTAAAGACATAGTAGAGTGCTGTATGAATGGGTGAGGGCACAGATTGTTGTAAAGCACATCGATACAGTAAGTACTGGTACAGTTCATTTACCATTTAAATGTTTGACATATCTTAAAGAAATCAAAGTGGACAACTTCAGATCTTGTTGCAAGGTGTTCCAGGTTACACTGAGCCGCTCAGTGGTTAGCACTGTTGCCTCACAGCAAGAAGGTCCTGGGTTCATGGCATAAGATGTCATGATGTACAGTAGTGAAAGCTTTGGACAGGTCTAAATAAAGTGCAGCACAGTGATCCTCGGCATCCAGTGCTTCAAGAACATCATTAAAAACCTTTAGCGAAGTAATTACTGTGCTGTGTTGTTTCCTGATGCCAAATTGGTGGGAAGATCAAATGTTAAAAGAATCTATAGTGACTATTTGTCCATGACCCCCTCCCCCCAAAAAAAATTAAAAATAAAATAAAATAACTGAATGCAAATGTAACTCAAATAATCACTTGATGCACCATGGGTTTGTGGTTTACGCAGTGCAAAGGTCCAAAAAATATAATTCTAGGTTTATTCCAAGTTGAAAAGATCTAAAAGACGATTTGCCAAAGCATTTTGAATCAGGACAAGTGGGACTATCAATAATCTCTCAAGTGAAATTAGCCACTAAAGAGCACATGCCAATGTATCTCTTGTGCTGGTCCCAAGCTGAGGTAAACGGTGAGGGTTGTGTCAGGAGGGGCATCTGACGTAAAAAACTTTTGCCCAAATCAATATGTGAATTCATCTAAGCAACACCATACCACGGTAAGAGCCAATCTAACTTTAAATTGCCAACCAGAACGATTTCCTTAAAGTGTAAATTAAATAAAAGCTGCATTAAGGTTTAATAGGGTTTCAGATGTGGCTGAAGGGGATCTGTAGCAACTAACAACAAATAAAGACTGACCACCAGACAGAACAATATTTAGTGCTAAGATTTCAAACTGCTTAGGAGCTAATTTAGCAAACACCAGTTGTGTTGCAAGACTAGATATGGCATAGATTGCCACACCACCTCCTTTTCTTAGACAATCTGAACGATAAATTTAAAAGCCTTTAGCTGTTACATCTTTGTCTAGAATAGACTTGGTTAACCAAGTCTCAGAAATAATATCAGCACCAGTTGAACAAACCCATATCCTCAGCACATCTATTTTTGGAAGGTAGCTACGAGCATTAATGTGCAATATATGTAATCCTGACATATTTTAAGGTCTACTGGAGTGCTGCATGAGGTGAGAGGACCAGGATTAGACTGAATACCAGACAACAAGAAAACATGACAAGAAAACATTTTCGGGTGTTCTTTGTGGCAGAAGCATAATTGCTGGAGTTGATATTTTAGTACTTGATCTCCACACACATTTTTTGATGAGATGTATTTAAAGAGACACAAATATTTAGAATCCATAAGCATTTAAGTTGGTATGAATTGATACATTTAGTTGCAGCAAAATGATTTAACTTTACAGATATCCAAAACAACCATTTCCTTGAGCAGATGTTTTTTTTTTCATTCAACCTTTAGTTATACAGGTTAGTCTCATTGAGTCACGAGGACACATTTTCAAGAGAGACCTGTTTTGGACAAAAACACAGATAAAGTACAGACAACAATAAACAGCCATAAAATGCATATACAATGAAAAGTAAATAAAAGTAGTGATATAAAACAAAATAAAACAAGTTATATATATATACTTTATATATGCATATACTGTATATATATACATATATATATATATATATATATATATATATATATACACACACGCATATATACATGTTGCAGGACTTGTTAATATGTGAGGGTGAACAGTCTATGTCTAAGGCAGAACACTGTCTAAGGCAGAAAAGCACATGTAGTGTCACACTGAACACAGAGCCAAGTGGTATCTTAGCTGAGATGTTTATTCATCCTCTGCTGCCTCATCCAAGTCACCCAAAACTAGCAACACTGACGATGTTAACATGCAGTTCGAGCCAAGGCTTGGGCTGTTGATGAACAGGGGCAGCTGTGGCTGAGTGGTTAGAGTAGTCGCCCTCCAATGGGAGAGTTAGGATTCAATTTCACCACTATGCAGTCACATGTTGAAGTGTCCATGGGCAATACACTGAACCCTCATTGCCTCCGATGTGTGTCCAATCGGTGTATGAATGTGATCTAAAAAGCACTGATTAGTCTCTATAGAAGGATTTGTTTGACCAGTCGAGAAACCCAGCTAAGCCCAGCAGCTGGTGGAGAAGACTGGGCTAGGTGAAGTAGTTAGGCCTGGTGACTAGTGGAGCAGTTCAACTGGCCTGATGATTGATGGAGTGACCTGAGCTGAGCCAGGTAGTTAGGCCTAGTGGCCATTCAAGAAGTCCAGCTGGGCCCATTGGTTGAAGGAGAAGCCTGGGCTGGGCCAGGTAGCTGGAACTGGTGACAAGTGGAGAAACCAGAAGAGGTCCAGGTAGTATATTTTCCTTAGGAGTTTTATGAGTTGTAGTTGAATAAGATAACAGTCTTACGGTAAACTTGTCAGTTTCACCAACGCAGCTTCATTGTGGTTTTTTTCTGCTGTTTTGTTTTCCTTCATGGTTCTGCGTGCCTAATGGTCTCTTATATCTGCTCTTTTCTCTATGGAGTTCTGCACATGCACCTTGACTGTAGATTGGTTCTGTCACAGGTAGCAGACAGAAACACAAGATGGTAAATCAGCAATCAGGTTGGACAGCAGCTCGGTTCTTTGTTGGGTCAGACAGGGAGCTGCTTGGAGTGTGTGCGGGCCTTAGAGATCCTTAGGCGACCGTTGCTGTCGTCTCGACTTTCTGTTAGCTCATGCGCTCAATTTCTCAAACTCCACAGTTCCTTTTTGTAATCTATGATTATTCCCTCCAAAAGACCCAATATTTTTCGCACAGCTTCCTCCAGTCCATTTGACCCGCTGTCTCCACAGTTTTACACCTCCGTGAAGTTAGTTTTAGGTTGGATCTTCTTCCCATTTCACCCGCTGCTGGCAAGTTGCTCTAACACCATTGATCCCATTTAATGTCCCATTTACACTTATCAGTTGAAAGTTAAAAAAATAATAAAAATGATTTTTAAAAAATCTAAATTACGGCTTGGTCAGAAAAATGTATTTAATCTCTGATCTCTCTGAGCAGAAGGTCCATCAGATGTTAAAACTAATAAAGGAGAAATAATCTGGTATGTATTTACTTGCTGCTCTGAGGCCTTTATAAAGTAATTACATTTTTTGCTTTAATTTCTTAAGTAGATACATTATTTTTTATATCAATCTGTATTTTGTTTGGGGCAGCACGGTGGCGCAACTGGTAGAGCTGCTGCCTCTCAGCGAACAGGTCCCTGGTTCAAACCCCGGTCCAGGTGCCTTCTGGGTGGAGTTTGCATGTTCTCTCCGTGCATGCGTGGGTTTTCTCCGGGTACTCCGGTTTCCTCCCACAGACCAAAAACATGCATGTTAGGCTGATTGGTAACTCTAAATTGTCCCTAGGTGTGAGTGAGAGAGTGAATGGTTTTGTCTCGTTTGTTTCTATGTGTCCCTGTGATGGACTTGCGACCTGTCCAGGGTGTACCCCGCCCCTCGCACAGTGATTGCTGGACATGGGCACCAGCGACCCCCGTGACCCAAAATGGAATAAACGGGTAAAGATAATGGATGGATAGATAGATGTATTTTGTTTGAAATTCCAAGTTCTGATTTTTGTTAGAAACAATTGATGTCACATTTGATAAAGAAGTTAAGCTGTCAAATATTCGAAAATTAAATTTTGAAGTGTTGCTTTAGAGTTGGTTGTTTAATTTCATGCTTGTGAGATTACCTTTTTGTTGCATTAAAAGAAGAACACCCAGCTCGCCCTATTTTTTCATATGGGTGTTCCACTTTACTTGAAGTTTAGGTCCTTCTATCAGAGGTCTAGGGATGACCATCAAAGATTCTTGATCTTCTGAGGTAAGGAAGATCAAGAAGTTCAGGGTTCAGACTTCAGTGCAGGTCACCTCAGTGTGCAGAATGAGCAAGAGACATAAAAAAATTATGTCAAGTTGCCTCTAATGTCACCTGGATCAACAAAGTCTGTGTCAGCTGTTGTGGAGAGCCAGGACATTAGAGAAATGGACAAAAACAAGACACTCATGGTCAAGGACATTACATAAAATAAAAAAAAAACATTATTTTTTGGAGCCAGATTTTATGATTAGAAGAACTGAATTTTTCTTGTTTGTGAAAAACAAGACAAAGTACACACACTCAGACAAACTTCTAGGTGAAAACACATAATATTCAGTTAAATTCAGTTTTCCTCCTGTGTGGGTTCTTATGCGTTTTCGAGCAGACTGAAGTCTAAATTAGTGACCTCAGTCACTGCAGAGGAGCTTTGTTTCCTGTGGATTTTTGAGTGTCTATTTAAATTAGCCTTGTGGCTAAACCTTTGCCCACAATCATCACATTCAAACGGTTTCTGTCCCGTGTGAACTCTCATGTGTGAGTTTAAATTTGACTTCTCACTAAATCTTTGTCCACAATCACCACATTCAAAGGGTTTCTGTCCCGTGTGGACTTTCATGTGCTTGCTTAAGGCTGACTTCTGACGAAATCTTTGTGCACAAAGCTCACATTCAAAGGGTGTCTGTCCTGTGTGGAGATTCATGTGTGTGTTTAAACTTGATTTCTGACTAAAACTTTGTCCACAAAGCTCACACTCAAATGGTTTGTGTCCTGTGTGGACTCTCATGTGTGTTTTTAATTGGGATTTCTGGCTAAATCTATGTCCACAAAGCTCACATTCAAAGAGTTTCTGTCCAGTGTGGAGATTCATGTGTGTGTTTAAACATGACTTGAGACTAAATCTATGTCCACAAAGCTCACATTCAAAGGGTTTTTGGCCTGTGTGGAGATTCATATGTAAGTTTAAATAGGACTTCCGACTAAGTCTTTTTCCACAAAGTTCACATTCAAAGGGTTTCTGCCCTGTGTGGAGATTCATATGTGAGCTTAAACATGACTTCCGTCTAAATCTACGTCCACAAAGCTCACATTCAAATGGTTTCTGTACTGTGTGGAGATGCATGTGTGAGTTTAAACATGATTTCCGACTAAATCTATGTCCACAAAACTCACATTCAAATGGTTTCTGTCCTGTGTGACCTCTCATGTGCAAGTTCAAATACGACTTTCTACAAAATCTTCGTCCACAAACCTCACATTCATATGGTTTATGTCCTGTGTGGACAGTCATATGTATGTTTAAAATTGATTTTTGTCTAAATCTTTTTCCACAAATCTCACATTCATACGGTTTATGTCCTGTGTGGACAATTATGTGTCTGTTTACACTTGACTTATGTCTAAATCTTTGTCCACAAATCTCACATTCAAACACTCTCTGTCCTGTGTGGACACTTGTGTGTGTTTTTAAATGTTGTTTTCTGCTAAAACTTTTACCACACTCATCACAACTAAATAATTTCTGTCCGGTGTGCACACTCATGTGTGCTGTTAAATGTGCTTTTCTGTGAAATCTTTTATCACATTCATCACAACTAAATGATTTCAGTCCTGTCTGGCCTTTACTGTGTGACTCCACACTTTTCTTCTCTCTGACACTTTTCTTCTGACCCAAACAGCTTGAAAGTTTTGCTGTTGAATGACATGTCATGTGTGTCTGAAGTGACTGGTTGTGCAGAAATTGTTTACCACACTCAGAGCAGCTGAAACGTTTGCTGACAGAGTTTACAGTTGACTCAGGAGCTTTGCTCTCCTTCCAGTCTTTGTCACAGTCATCAGTTGTTAACCCAGAGTCTGACAAGACTTCTAGCTGAGAGTCAGGATTGTTCCCATCCTCGTCCTCTTCCTCATCCTCACTGACATCAGTCTCTGAAGAGCTGGAAGCATCTCCATAAGGATCTAAATCTGTGTTCCTGCTGGTTTCTGCTCCTCCACAGTCCTCTCCATCAGCTTCTACGTTCATCTGGTCAGCTGAGCTGCTGGTTGGAACATCTCTGTCCTCCATTTGATGCTGATGAAGCTGTGAGACCAGAGGCTTCTCTTCATCATCCTCACTCTTCAGGGAAACTGTGGTGAATGAAAACCTGCTGGCATCAGTCTCCTCCTTCACAACGAGCTGCTGTCCCTCTAATCTGGTCCAGAGATCCTCCCCTTCCTCCTTGATGTGGAGGTGCTCTGGGTCCTGCTGGTTCACATCAGGTCTCCATTCCTCAGGAGCATCTACTCTGATCAGCAGAGTCTGCTGAACATCTGCAGGGAACACTGAAAAACAGACAACATGGACAATTACTCTTTGCTACTTTGTCTTAACAAGGTGCTAATTTCTTTCCTAAGTTTAAGATGGAAGATCATTATGTTATTCCAAAGGTCCTAAAAAGGCAAACAACTGACACCTTGCATTTGAAGACCAGAGCAGCTGAAGAAAAGCTTCTGCTTCAGAGAGAGATGGACACTTTGATTCATGACGTCCATAAGCCACATGGGCATTTACATTCAGCAATAAATGACACTACAGACCCTGGTTCAAAAACTGTTCTTTTTCACAGTATTAGCATGTTGGAAAATAAAATATACAGTGCAATGATAATGTTCCAGAGGTTTATTACAGTTATTGCTCCCCCTCCAAATGTTTACCTGCCAGAGTTTAACTCTTTCTCAAAAAGTTATGTCACCTGATGTACACGTTTTGGTCTTTGACAATAGCAATGATGACAAAGAGGATGAAGCTGATGATGATGTTGTCGAAGACGAAGTCGACAATGATTGTGATACAACTTTGTGAAACAATAATGTGTATTATCATGAGGATGTGGCCAATTATTGTACTGTTTAGAGAGCACACTTTTCAGTCATCCAGGTTGAATCTACTTAGATGAGCACTGTATAAACTTGTTTTTTTATGTTTATGTGAAGGGTCAGTTATAGGGGGCTTTAGAACAAGTGACCCCCACCCCCCTAAAACATGTGATCCAATTCCTTTAAATGTTTTGTTTTGTAATCAGCGGCGCCAGATTCAATTTTGAGGTGGGGAGACCGTGGGGGTCTTTCGTCACCTTGTACTCTCTTCATAAGCACTGTCAAGTGATGTGCATTTCAGGTGAAGTAAGAAGTCAGTTCTCATGACCTAAAATAAGGTTAAAAGCCATACAAACCACAGATCCCTGAGTATGTGTTCTGAAAAAGCAAGAAAGGTTTATTTACTAAAACTTCTGAAAAAGCAAGAAAGGTTTATTTACTGAAACAAATCTATATAATAGTATGTAACAGTGTGTGAAGTCTTTCTAATGTACAGCACCTCAGACTGAGGAAGTCTTTCGGATGAGAGACGAACCGTTTCTACATTTTTTTTGCTTTTTGTTTTTTTTTGAATGTTCAAAGGACCAGATTTAACTTTTTTGGATTTCTAATGTACTATGTTTTAAGAGTGTGAAATCCTATGAATTAAGACTTAATCAATCAATGTTGAAGAAATTATAGAGCTTAAATTAATAGGTTATAGGGAAAGCTTATATTGAAAGTGAGTTAACTTTAAATTATTAAGAGTAAATTAATTAATGTTACTGACTAAAAAGTGAAGAGAATCAATTGTTCAAAGGTCAAGTTCACAGCTTAATGTTTGTGTGTCAAGTCACCACAGGAAGTGGAAGTCTAAACAGATGGCCAGGCCAGTAAGAGGAAAAAGAGGAAGTTATCTGTAGAAAAAGAGGAAGTTATCTGCAGAAAACAGGAACAAGTTACCTTAAGTGAAGAGGCTCTCTCAGAAAAAGAGGAAGCGCTCTGCAGAAAAACAGGAAAACAGACCTAGTGGCAGTCTTAGATAATTTTAGCAATATGACAGTGACGTTGAACATGTGATCTGACATTGTAGAATAGTCTGTATCCAGAGCTGTTGCTATGCAAAAATTACGCAATGATGATGTGTCTATCTCTGCTGCCATTTGTGGATTTTAAGGATGCATATTTAATTGGATTTACGATAATTGGTTCCTGCTTTTTGGATTTGGCTAGTTGCTGGTTTTATCTACAATCAAGGAAGTCGTCGGCAGCAAATTTGGACCCGATCATGCTGCTTGCCTTTATGATAGCTTGGTTCATGTCTCGAGTACCCACACTGGCAGAATGTATCACATCTCGGGGATTTTACTCAGTCACGTTCCATCGGTGTGGCCATGTAATTTGGACATTTCAGAACCGAGTGGACTAACACAGACTCAAGGTGATGTTATTAAGTTCCTCCTGTCCCCAAAACAACTGTGTTTATCTGAATTTGGCTCCCTTAGCTGGCCTTGAAGGCCATCTTATCTGAATTTGCCTGGGTAACGTGATCTGACGCTCACCACCACCTCCCTGAGAAATTTCCAACTGATAACCAGATGAAACCAGCTGAATAAACTTTGTGTCATCATTTCAGGATTCTTGGATTCTCATAGTTGTTATTCTTGGCCATTCCTCGACATACCTCGAGAATATTTACGGAGCTCACCAGAAGACAATGGCTGATTATTCCATCCTTATCAGAACTCTTACAGTGCCCTCAAGAGCATCAATGGACATACTTACCACTCTTGTCTTCCCCCTCTGCAGAATGTCTACGTCACTAGGTGCTTGTTTGTGCGAGGTGTTATTTAATATCAGTTTTTTTCTTCTCAGGCAGGAATACATATGTCCAGTTTCAGTACTTTTTGTCTGTCTAAACAGATCTCACTTGTAAATGAGTCTTCTAGGCTCAATGTGACTTATCTGTCTAAATAAAGATTGAATGAAAAGAGGAAGAATTTTTCTCAGCTCTGCCCGGACCTGAAAGCCAATTCAAGTTTCCAAGATTGGATTTTATTGAATGCAGTATGAAATATTTTTCAAAAGCAACTGAGGGATGATTATCACCAGCTTCATCAGTCAAGGATCCCCTTTGACAATGGGTCTTCGAGAAGAGATGGTATGACACATACTAATAGCTGTTCCAAAATAAAATTAAATAATCAAAACCGCTTATAGCTATATACACCAGTAAAATGTTAGGACTCTTGACAACATTTTGAGTTATGGGGATTTACATGTTATATTAAATTTGGTATTTTTAAAGTCTTAATACATTTTAGGAGAGTTTCCCCATTTTTTCTGCATTATGAGATTCTGAAGTTGCCTTTGTATTTTTTTCTCCCTTTTGTTCGATGGAGTTTTTGAACACACTTTAGATTGTGACTTTTTTGATTTTTCCAACTAAACATAATTTTTGATATTTCAATCAGGAGGATTCTGGGAACACAAGGTAAACTCTAGATGTCGGCTGACGGCTCATCGAGTCCAGTAACGATCTTGGGTTTCAGAGTGTTCTCTGGGGTCTTGGAGCAGCAAAAGTCTTCCCCTGAACCTAATCACCTTACCTTACTTTGGCTCAACAGAGTGAGGATTAATATATTTCCATTTTTCTTCAATGAAGCTTTTGGATTTATAATTTTCTGTTTTTGCTCAAGGGAGCTTTGCAGATTTATAATTCTTTAGTTCAGCTCATCAGAACAAAGGAATTACAACACAATTGGACTGTTTTGCCCCTTGGACATCAACCAAAAATCAACAGTAACATCTTTCAAGTAACAAGTGGACTTTTGACTACTGAGATTTGCTATGTAACCGAATAATCACTATGGATTTCTGCTATAACGCTGTTCCCCTGCAAATCATTAATTAAAGCAAAGCATAAAACTTAAAAATCTGGACCATCATTTCACCACCTCATGTTCATGGATTTAAGAAGATTGGTTCAATTCTAACAAAATAGGGAGGTTTTAAACGGTTTACTCAGCTGTGAATATTAAGACAACATCCTGGAATCCTATTGCTAGATTCTATAAAGAAACAGATCAGTAAGAATTGCCGTTCTACAATGAAGGTAAACGACCGTTAATGTGAGTTTCCCTGTGGATGACAATCCAATTCCGGCTGCTAGGTTGGGCAAGTCACTGGGTGAGATAGGAGTGCAGCTCACAGATGGAGGTCGTTAACAAATCTGGGTGAGTCATCTTCAACACAGCCTAAGTTGAACTAACCTAAAATTACTCTGGGTAATACTCAAGTGTTAGGCTTAGTTCGTTATACCCCTTAGAGGAGAGGCTGCAGTGGGGTTTGGCCATAACTCATGTGGTAACTCCACTGGATAGATTGAGAGCACATTGAATGTCAGGCGCACATGTTCAATTTTGCCACACAGTAATGTAAATAGGTACTTTCACGGTCATCAGATTTGGAAAAGTTTGCAACAAAAGTCTTAAAAAAAGAAAAAGGCAGAAGTTTATGGGGGGGGGGGGGGGAATGGTTCAGTGTACAATGGATGTCTGTGATGGCCGTTTCTGAGTGACATACATTCAGAACTCAGAACAGACCTGCTGCCACCGGTCCTGAATATTATTTTTTTCTTCCGTTATTTCAGAGATGAAAAGGTAGGTTTTCTTCTCCTTTGGCTAAATTTTCTCCAAAGTGACCTGCCAACACAGCACAGTTGTAAACGCCAGCTGGCTTTTGGACGAGCAAAAATGACTAACTATCTGTGCAATTATTTCCCTGTGTGTGGATTTTAGCTCCCTCTGCTTTGCAGAATTGTCATTCAGCCATATTGGAGAGTTTTCCAACATGAACAGTCTGTTTAAGGTCATATCACAGCATCTCAATGACATTTAAGTCCATACTTTTAATATGCCACTTCAAAAACTTGTTTGTTTTAAGCCATTTTATAGAGGACTGCTGATGTGGCAGCATCATGCAATGGGGATGCTTCCCACAGCAGGAAGTGGCAAACTAGGAAGATGAATGCAGTAATGCGCAGAGACATCCTAGATGAAAACCTAGTCCAGAGCATCTTGACCTCAGACTGGGGCCACGATTCATTTTACAGGAGGACCATGACCCAAAGCACATGGCCAAGATCTAAAAGACTTCAGAACCACCCTGTGAATGTCCTGCAGTGGCAAAGCCAGACCCCAAACTTGAATGTGATTGAACAACTCTGGAGAAATCTGAAAACGGCTGAACAGACATCTCCCATCTGTTGACATGAAAAAATGATCATTCAGAAGGGGGCCCCAGATGCCTATAAAGGTATGAATACTCTTGTAAATGTCAGTTGAAGAGAATAGGAATATATGGAAAACCAGCTGTGACTCCGTGGTTGAGATAAAGACGAGCTGGGTCAGACTGGAAAGGACTTCAGCAGATAACTGGCCGGAATTTCTGTCTGCCCCTACACACTAGCATGGCACATAGAGAATATGACTTCCTTTGTGCATATTGTTCTGAACAGTGCCCAAACAATGTATTTTGATAATAGAGTGCATCAATGGAGCATCTACATAGAATGTTCACCACTTATGTCATACCATGAATATGCTTTTTTTCAGTGATGTATCGATTTAGGACTGGAAATAATCATGGAACTAGTGCCCCATTTGTTTCTTGTCTGACCTCATTGTGAGGTATATAACTTTGATCTGAATGTTAGATCATTGCCTTTTCCAGCCTGGAATAGATCACTGCTTGGACCTGGACCACCAGCTCTGATATTCCTAATGCAAGTCCAGAGAGGAATCAGCTGACTTGTGTCTCCTTTATCAAAAACACAGTTTTTGAACTTTGACACATCCAACCTAATGGAGCTTGAGAAAAACTGCAAAGAAGAATGGACCAAACTGCCTGATGATTGATGCGCGAAGCTTGTGGTGTCATATTCAAAAAGACTTGAGACTGGAGTTGGTGTCAAAGGTGGGTGACAAACTTATCAAGAAAAAGCTGAGAAAACTTGAGATTTCTTAATTTTCTATTTTTAATAAATTTGCCAAAATCTCAAGCTTTTAATACATTGTCAAAATGGGGTATTTGTGTGTAGAATTTAAATACAAAATATTATATCTATACAATCTGTAACAGTGCTGTAACAGAGAATGTGAAACAAGTGAAGATCTGGGAATACTTTATGGATGCACTGCACGGTAATATTGTTAGCTCCATGGCCATAGAAATATCCTACTGAATGTGTAATCCCGCACGTTACAATCACAGGATGTTATGGTTATAGTCAACGCCAATTGTTTGAAATGGAATGCGGCCCATCAACGGCAGGTAGATACAAAGAGGTCCGCATGAGTAGTAGCATCAATTCCAAAGACCATGGAAACTGTGTAGACAGAGCTCTAAGAGAAGTCATTCAATCAAGTCATATGAATTTCTTTATCAATCAATACAAAATTAAAGTCATTTTTCACTAGAAGTGCAAATAAAATGAACGTTATTTGTGAAAATGTATTGATAAGTTTCTAGAAACCGGAAAACTCAAAGTTGGCAACGTATTGTAGGTCACGTGATGTGTATACACCATGACAACCAATAGTACAAAGTTTACCTGCGACACAGTTGACATACTGCATTCTGAAGTGTCATATTTTATCTTCTTCAGATCCATCCATCCATCATCTAAACACGCTTATCCTTGCAGGGTCACAAAGGGGGCTGGTGCCTTTCTCCAGCGGTCTTCTTCAGATCAACCCAAATTTTTATTGTTTTTCCGCTTTCGGATGTTCCATTCTTCAGGGAACTAAGTCACATAAAGACTTGGCAATTGTTTTTATGCCTGATGCCCTTGCTGACACAACCACAAACCAACGAGCTACCATAGCCCTCTGTGTGGAGCAGAGAGCTGCCATCTGGGACACTCAGGGGAGCAGATGGTGGGGGTTAAGGACCCAGAGTGAGGCAAATGAGGGTGGAGGCAGGTGTGGGTGTTTCACCTTTCTCACACACATTTTGATGTTGTTACGGGGAGTTGAACCGGCTACCTTCCGATCACAGGCCCATCTTCTCTAACCTCTGTGCCAACACTCCACTTTTTGTCCCCCTTAATTAACGTTAAAGGAATGGTCTGACTCCTTTATTTGCAAATGGGAATTATCTGTGTGCCTATTTTAAAATGGAAAATTAAAGACTAAATATAATAATAAACTTAGCTATTGGTTTAATACCCAAATGTTGCTGTTAGTCTTTTAAAGATTCTCGGGAGTGACAGCATTTTCATAGAAAGGCTTTACTCGATGCATAAGTAATTTATCAAAATTTTTTAAGTAACTATAGTTATGTCCCAATATTGACAGTTGTCTGAGGAACAAAAGTCATTAATATAGTAATATTAAAGCTTTGGCATTGTATAGATTTTGTTGTCCTTGTTATTGATGGAGATGTGAAAGGTCACAGATGTTTTTCACTTACTAAAGTCAAATGTTATAACTCATACAGTGCCTTGCGAAAGTATTCGCCCCCCTTGAACTTTTCAACCTTTTGCCACATTTCAGGCTTCAAACATAAAGATATAAAATTTAAATTTTTTGTGACGAATCAACAAGTGGGACACAATCGTGAAGTGGAATGAAATTTATTGGATGTGTCAAACTTGTTTAACAAATAAAAAACTGAAAAGTGGGTCGTGCAATATTATTCGGCCCCCTTGCGTTAATACTTTGTAGCGCCGCCTTTTGCTGCAGTTACAGCTGCAAGTCTCTTGGGGTATGTCTCTATCAGTTTTGCACATGGAGACACTGAAATTCTTGCCCATTCTTCCTGCAAAACAGCTCGAGCTCAGTGAGGTTGGATGGAGAGCGTTTGTGAACAGCAGTCTTCAGCTCTTCCACAGATTCTCGATTGGATTCAGGTCTGGAATTTGACTTGGCCATTCCAACACCTGGATACGTTTATTTAGTGAACCATTCCATTGTAGATTTGGCTTTTTGTTTTGGATCATTGTCTTGTTGGAAGATAAATCTCCGTCCCAGTCTCAGATTTGCAGAGGTCTGATACTCCTTCCATTTCAATATGATTGCTTGCACAGTGCTCCTTGGGATGTTTAAAGCTTGGGAAATCTTTTTGTATCTAAATCCGGCTTCAAACTTCTCCACAACAGTATCTCGGAACTGCCTGGTGTGTTCCTTGGTCTTCATGATGCTCTCTGCACTTTGAACAGAACCCTGAGATTATCACAGAGCAGGTGCATTTATACGGAGACTTGATTACACACAAGTGGATTCTATTTATCATCATCAGTCATTTGGGACAACATTGGATCATTCATAGATCCTCACTGAACTTCTGGAGTGAGTTTGCTGCACTGAAAGTAAAGGGGCCCAATAATATTGCACGCCCCACGTTTAAGTTTTTTATTTGTTAAAAACGTTTGACACATCCAATAAATTTCATTCCACTTCACGATTGTGTCCCACTTGTTGATGATTCTTCACCAAAAATTAAAATTTTATATCTTTGTTTGAAGCCTGAAATGTGGCAAAAGGTTGAAAAGTTCAAGGGGGCCGAATATTTTCGCAAGGCACTGTATTACCATGTGTGTGTGTGTTAGAATTGTTTTTGTCTGGATCAGAGCGCTGCATAAGCATGGAGCCTTTCACCCAAATAAGCAAGGAGGCTGCAAGAGTTGCCTGACCTTGCATTTGTCTGATAACATTATAAAAATACACTCTTTTAGGCTCTCGGTGAAGACTTGGATACGAAGCGTCATGTAAAAATCATGCTTACTTGTATTTCAACCTCTGTTCCATCTTGCAAGATTAAACCTGGGATTAAGAAAATTATCTACCTCTCCCGTGTGGCATATTTATTTCATGAGCTACAAGGATAATATTAAATTATCTTAAAAGTTATGTGCAGTTATAACATTAATATATATTTAATGTTTCCTGCAACTGTAATGGCATGCTTCCACTCACTAATAAAATGGCCTTGGCACTCAGTACATTAAGATTTTAAACAAACTTCAAAGTGTATCTCCATTTACAAAACAGTTATCTCATTTTATTATAAAAACTTAAATTTCATTCATTTATCTTACAAATTACATGTAGTCTCAATACATTTGTGCACATGACAGTATGGAGTAGGTACATCATTGTACAGGCAACATTTTCAAGCACTTAACATGCTCTGTATGCTTGATCTAAACTCAGGTTCAGTTTGAATGTTTTTCTTCAGAATGCAGAACAACATATAACACATTTTCAGAAAAAATTAATGAACATTACATCCATGCAGTACATTATTTAAAGCAAAACAATTTGCAGGATGGCAGTGTTTTCTCAAGTAAAAGTGCACTTTAAGGATTATGATGCTGGAAATGAGAACACAAGTTATTTCTGAAACCAAATGCGACCACAGCTGGCATGCACTGCACATACACCACTCAAGCAGTTTCTTCATATCATTCTTCTTTTTGTCGTTGAAATGACTATGGCAAATACAAGTTACCAGCCTCTAAAATACAAAAAAAGAGGTTATTGGATCAGAAAACGAGTTTAATATACATAAAATATGCATAGTACATCAACTTATTCAAAGATATACTACCTGAAGCCGTTACCCCTGCCTCAACTGTCGATATTTTCACAGGCCCCTCACCGCTCTGCACATCTAAAACAAAAGGTCACAGGTAAGTTCCACTGTAATCACAAATTATATCAGAAAATTTTTGAAAATTGGTTACTGTTGAGCCCCCCCATCATCATTTTCCCCCATGTAGGGTAGTACTTATTAAATA